TATGGCTAGCCCAATTCAATTTATGACAAATGGTACTCCCTAAGGACGTTGATAATGAGGAATTCAGCAATGGCAGTTCAAATACTGCAAAACCTGGACAATATTCAGACTTTGGCTGAAAAGTGGCAAATAACATTTGTGAAATGTTATTAATGTCAGTGGCAATGGTTGGATTCTCTCCTGTTCCAGCTGGTCATTGCTTGGCACATATGTAGTGCAAATGTTATTTGCCACTTTTCAGCCAAAGTCTGAATATTGTCCAGGTTTTGCTGCATCGGAACATGGACTGCTTCAGGATTTGAGGAGTCATGAATGGTGCTGTACATTGTGCAACTATCGGTGAACTTCTTGACTTTTGACCTTATAATGAAGCAACTGACAATAGTTGGGCCTAGGACACTGCCATGAGGAACTCCTGCAGAGGTGTCCTGGAGCTGAGAAGACTAACCTCCAACAGCCACAACCATCTTCTTCTGTGCTATGGATGACTGCAATGAGCTGAGAGTTTTTCCCTTGATTCCCATTGACTTCAGTTTTGCTAGGGCTCCTTGATGTCACATATGGTCAAATGTGTTCTTGAAACAAGGACAGTCACTTTTATCTCACCTCTGGAATTCAGCTCATTTGCCCATGTTTTGATCAGGTCTGTAATAAAGCTAGCAGCTGAGTGCCCTCGGTAGAACCCAAACAGTGATTTGCCTGCAGCGTCAATTATAGAATTAGTGCATTGCAGAAGACAGATCTTCCAGCCCATTGCAACTACATCTACACTCGAAATGAATAATTCACTTAGTTCCATTCTCTAAACTTCCCTCTGTGTCACTGCACAGTATTATTTGTCAGATACAGATTTCAATTCCTTTCTGTTGAATCTGCCTCCATCACAGTCACAACCCAAACCATGCACTGTGTGAGAAACCTTTTTCTCATGTCAGTTTTTCATATCTTACCAATGACTTTGAATCTGTGTCATCATGTCCGAGATCCCTTCATGAGTGGCAACAGTTTCTCCTTATCTATTCTGAATACAGCCTCATGATTTTGAATACCTCAATTAAATCTCCTCTCAAGCCTTGATTTTCTTCAAAGAAAACAATTCTAACTTCTAAAATCTATCTTCATGAGTAAAGTTCTTCATCCCTGAAACATTTCTCAGGAATTGTTTTCTCACTGTTTCCCAAGCATTTACATCCTTTCTAAAGTGCAGTTTCGAGAACTGGAGGCAATACTGTAACTTAGGCTGAATCAGTGATTTGTTCAAGTTCAACATAAACTTTTCACTTCTGTACCTTATGTTCCCATTGATAAAGCCTAGGACACTAAATGCTTTTTTTAACCATGTTCTCAACCCATTCAACCACCTTTAATAAAAACCGAAAGAACTGTGGATGTTGTAGATCAGAAATAAAAACAGAAGTTGGTGGAAAAGCTCAGCAGGTCTGGTAGCATCTTTGGACAGAAATCACAGTTAACGTTTCAAGTCCAGTGATGCTTCATCAGAATTGTTCTGAGGAAGGGTCACTCGACCCAAAATGTTAACTGTGATTTCTCTCCACAGATATTGCCTGACCTGTTGAGATTTTCCAGAAAATTTTGGTTTTGTTTACGCCAATTTTAATGGCTTACACACAAACACACGAGTTGAATCCATTATTTTATGTCGCCTTACACTTGGACCTTGGGGTTTCCATTCCCTGTTGTCATTGATCATTTTCTATCAGTCCTTGTGCCTTCAGTCTTGCTGCTAATGCTTTCACAACTTCTGTGTCTCTATTGCAGCACTTCTATCTGCTTACATTTAACATATTCAATATTCCCAGTGCTTATTGAAACTGACACCTGAATCAGTATCAAATTACACAACAATGAAGTGACCTCAAAAATTAGTTATAAAAAGCACACTTCCATTCATGTTCCTATCCATTTGAAAATCAACTTCATTCGCAGCAGCAATTTGGCTTTCTTTTTCACATTCCGACACAAGATATCTGTGCTTTGCTCCAGCTTCAAGAACAGTTTGCATTTATTTAGCACTTTTCACACAATAAAACTGCACCATAGCAGCTGTAAATATTTACTTTGGTGTAAAGCACTTTGGGACATGCTGAATTCATGAAGGTGCTATATAAACACAAGTCTTGAAGATCTTAAGGTTTTTAGGACAGTCTTAAAGAACAGAGGTTTAAGACGACAGAGAATGCAGACCACACAACAGTAACAATGTTGCAATGAAACCCAAATCAGACATGTGCAAGGGGTCAGATTAGCAGTGGCTCAAATATTTTGGAGGGTTGTTGACTTGGAACAGATAGCAGAGAAACGCTGGGGGGGGAGGTGAGGAGGTCATGGAAAGATTTGAAAAACAAAAGTGAAACTTTCCAAACCAAGACCAATGCCAAAAGTTGCACCGATGTATATCAGCAAACAGAAAGGTGATAGGTGAATGAGACTAGCAGCAAGTTAGGATATGGCAACAGAGTCTGGATTGCACAAAAATACCTTGTACATGGGAAGTATTAGACCAAACGGCTTTACACCTGTAGCTGCAGTATATGTGATGAGATAGCTCGATGTTGACACTGATTCCAGAATTAGAATGTTTTGAAGGCACTGACTCACTCCCTTGGCGAAGGCAGCAACTGAGCTGTCTGAAGCTCCAGATTTCCACCAACTCCAGCCTGACCCACTTTCTCAGACAGTGCAGACTGCAGAAGATCGAATGCAGTGTTTAAAAATAAACAGGCTTATTCCTTCACTTATGCTATTCACAATGGGCTTACTCCACTCCTTATTCAACAAAATGGAGAAGATCCAGGTCTCCATGGAGAAGACCTGTAAAAAAAACTATATTTTTGAAAATTACTGTAGATGAGCTAAATATGGGAAACTGATCTATAACTTAGTTACTAAATATAATGCTTACTTTGTAGAGTTCTTTACTTTCATAGATCCATTTAAGAATCATTAAATTCCTCTGTGAACAAAGTGTATTAGGTGAGAAGCTGATGAGTCGTGAATAAAATGCTATTGTTTCATGAGATTTTGAAACAAACAAGGAACAAGAGTAGGCCATTTGGCCTCTCAAGCCATCTCTGCCATTTAATAAGATCATGGCTGATCTGATTGTAACCTCAAATTTAAATTCCCAACAATCTCTGATAACCTTTCACTCTCTTGCTTATCAAGAACCCAGCCATCTCTGCCTTAAAAATATTTAGACTCTGCTTCCATTGCCTTTTCAATAAGAGAATTCCAAAGATTCATGACTCGTGAGAATGAATTACATCTTTAAACCACATTGAATGATACTAGCTAAAATCGTGTTGAAAAACCAAATGGTCCTATGCACTTCTCTGATGAAGATAATGAGGCTGGAGGGATAATAGGAACAAAGTGGGTTAGTGTGATTTGAACAATGTACTTGTTTGCAGGCTAAATGCACAGGCTGAGCCAAATATTCTAACAGCAATGTAGTCAGATTTCAGCCGGACGATGTTACAAAGGTAGAAATTGGCAGACTTAGTGATCAGGCCAGTTATGTGGTTGAAAGCAAATACTTAGGCTGAATATGACATTAAAGTTAAGTACAGTCTGGTTCAGCCTCAGGCAGTCACCAGGGAGGAGTCAGTGGCAAGTGAAGAGTTTGCAGTGGAGATTGAAGATAATGGATTTTTCCCATTATTTAAATGGAGAGTAAGCAGTCTGATCATTTAGCAACAGTGGAGGAGTGGAGAGAGCTGATGGATTAGGTAGAGTCAAGTATCATTAGTCTACAGGAGCAAACTAATGCTTTAGATGATTTTGCTGAGGGCTAGCACATAGTTAAGGAACAGGCAGAGACAATGGATAGATTCTGGGGGTACACAGAAGTAACAGCACTAGGCTGTATGAGAAGTTATTACACATGATTGTCTAGTTATTATTAGACTGATGAGAATTTAATGATGTGAGGGCAGTGCCACCCAGCTGGATGATAGCAGAGGGACTTAGGAGCAAACAGTACCACCAGTTGGGGAGAAGGTTGAAAACAGGTCAAGAAAAACTAAGAGGGAAAGTTCACCATTGTCACACAATCACATAGCAGTTCATTTGTAACTTTAGAAAGGGCTCTTTCTGTACTGAACAAAAACCAAAAGAAGCTGTAAATCAGGAACAAAGTTCTGAGGAAGGGTCACCGGACCCGAAATGTTAACTCTGATACTTTCCTCACAGACGCTGCCAGATCTGCTGAGCTTTTCCAGCAACTTCTGTTTTTGTTCTTTCTGTACTGAGGCAGGGGCAGAAAGCTGATCACAGGGGCTCAAAAATGACACTGCAGAACAGATGGACATCGATTTGGGATGTGGCATGATCAAGGACTTCAGAATAAAGGGAAGTTGGAGAGGGGTCTGATGTTTGCGAAGAAGGTAGATCAACGTTTGTTTCTTTGAGAAGGGTGACGACAGCAGATTTTAAGAAGAAGGAGATCACAGCTGAAAAGAGACAAACAAAAATAACATCAGCAAATGTAAGAGACTCGACAGGAAGTTGGATGCTCAGCAGTTTAGTGGGAATAGGATCAAGGGAGCAGGAAGTAGATCTTTGGACAAGATGAACTTGGAGGGAGCGTGAGGGGATAGAGACTGCAGAACAGTGCCAGGTCTTGGCTAGGGCAAAGAACAGGGTCACAGAAAGAAAGATTGGTTTAGTGGGTCACTGAAAGGGAGGGAAGTGACAGAAGCAGTTGATCAGATGGTGTCAATCTTAGTGACCAAATAGTGCATGAGTTTCTTGCATTTGCTGCTGGGGTGAGGGTGGAGGAAACAGGGGAGAAGGGTTTAAGAAGATGGTTTGCAGAAAAGAATCTGAGTGTTATCTTGGCCGGCAAACGTGAAGAGCAAGATCCGGTGATGTTTTATGAGGTGAAGAATGGTTAAACCATAACGTAATGCCTGAAGAGATATCTAGGCAGCGAGGAAAGTAACTCAGAAAAGGAAATCTTTATGAAAATATTAAATTACCTGTTCGACCACAGCATTCACATCACCTAGTAAGGCAGCAACAGGCTTCACATTATTTCCTAGTTCTTCAGCACATAGGTCAACCTTATTTAAAAACAAAAGTGAAGTCGTTGTTTAATATCTAAGGGCCACATGTAACATATATGTAACAAATAGAAAGGTGTAGTAAAATTGAGATCAGAGAAAGAAAAATAACTAGCAATTTTTAAAAACCTGACATAAAAACAGGAAATGCTGGAAATAAAGACTGTATTTTCCTGTTTGAGGCACTTATCAGGAAATTAGACTGATCCTGGGTCACATTGATAGCCTGAATAGCATTTTAATGGGGTCAGGGTCTTACTAACACAAGAGACTGGTTTGCTGCCCAATTAATGCCTGTGGTAATTGTGCTGGGACACGAGGAAAGCAGGCCACACTGAGGCAGTGGTTGCCGGCTGTGTGCAGTCTTAACAAAATCAGTGGATCTTCTTCAAAGTGTCAGTGGCTTTTTGTTTTAGTTAAAACATTGACTGACATGCCTTTTCGCAGGCACAGTAACATTCCAACATCAATTGTTTTCAATGTAGGCCGAATTCAAAATACTATGGAATCATAGAATCCCTACAGTGTGGAAAGAAGCCATTTGGCCCATCGAGTCTACACTGACCCTCTGAAGAGCATCCCACCCACACTCAGTCACCCAGCCTCTCCCTGTAAGTCCACATTTCTCATGGCTAACCCATCTTGCCAGCACATCCCTGGACACTTGCAGACAATTTAGCATGGCCAATCCACCGTGGATTATGGGAGGAAACCGGAGCACCCAGTAGAAACCCATACAGACAGAAGGAGAACATGCAACCCCTACGCAGACAGTCACCCAAGGCTGGAATCGAACCCAGTTTCCTGGCGCTATGAGTGCTAACCACTATGCCACCAAACCTCCTTTGTTGTGGCCAAAATTCTACAGATGGCAGGTTTCCTGCCCTGCCACCTGAAGAGTTGGGCAGGGAATGGATCCCTCCCAATGAAGCTGCATTTAATTGGCTTTAGGTGAGACTCTTGTCCCCTGACCTGGCCAAAAGTCCTTCTGCAAAGAGCTGCTTGGGCAATATGATTAGTCGGCACCTCTCTAGTCCCAGCTGCAGGAAAGCAGTGTTGGTCTTTCCTGAGGTTAAAAGCAGTCCCCAGATTCTAAATCCTAGAGGTAAGTTTGGGGGTGTCGCGGCAGTCACTAGAGGGAAGTCCCATGTTGGTGCTCGCAACAGCCAGGTCAGGCCAGGAGGCAGCAGCGCTGGCCTCTGATCTGGAAGGAAGCCAGTGATTCTGGCACCTAGCCAACCCCACTCTCCTACCTGAAGGTCAAGCAGGGAGATGGGTCTCTCTGTCACCAAACATCTCTCCCCAGCCTGAGAAATGCTGCCAGGTAGGAAATGGGGCTTGAGTGGCCAATAATTGACCACTTAAGGGCCTCAACTGGAGCAAGGGTAGGCCGACTGCCCTAGGCCTCACCCGCTTCCTGTAAAATAGCAAACTAGCTGGGAATGGGAGGCAAGGCCAGCCAGAATATTGCAGCCCCGCTTTCCACCCTGCAAACCTGCAAGGAGGGGAACTGTAAAATTCTACCATGTATAAAACTGCTGGAAGATCGGAGTTTCAGACACATTTATTTTTCAGGTCCTAAAAGATATATTAATACTCTTTTCTTTTGAAAAAGTAAGTAATGCAATTTGCTGAAAATCTCATAATTTCCAGTTTATAATCTGTCTTCATCTCACTTCGAGAGAGTTAGTTGGAGAGCTGCTTCGGATCATGTGACCATGTTGTTTGGGATTCCCAAGCAATTTCCTGCTTTGACTGTGATTTAACGTGCATGTTCCCAGGGATTGGGGAAGAATGGTAGTTTCAGGCACTGGAGGACTGAGGGGTGGTCAGTACCAGATTGGGTGGAAGGGAGTTTCAAACAGGCCGAATTCATCAAGGTTTGAACTAGCCAATCCATGGAGCTTTTTTTAATATATAAAAAAACGCATACCTTTTCAAAAGCTTTATTTTAGCAGCAATCAGGTCTCAAAGATCTGATCTTTAAGCTATACCCACTAATAAAGAAAGAGGAGTTAAAGGGGTCTCACTGTTACTAACATTCAGTCTCAGCTCCACAGGCATCATTGCTGCTTCAAAGCTCACAATTTTAAAATCTTGTCTTGTGACCCCTGTAGGGGTTACAATATATAGTTTGGAAAGTTGTGATTTATAACTAATATTACCATAGCACTTGTGGTTTACACATTTCTCCCCTTCAATGAATATTATCTCACTAACAAGAAAATACCAGAGTTACTCCTGTTCCTTCGTTGTGAAGCAAGTCATTAAGGGAGGTGTTAATAGGATGGGGAAAAATGTAGTACAAATAAACGCAAGAAGACTGGGAAACAAATGTTCTGGTCATACTGGATCTCTGTTTTAATGTATACAAGGCCATTCAGACTAGTATGTGTCATTCACAAACTTTTGCTGGCTTTTCAGAGGCTGAACTGGTGTGTGGAGGGACCAAGTCACATGATAAGTTCTAGCCACTTCTAGAACTGTGTGAGGCTCCAACAAATTCTGGCTCCTGTCCTCTCTTGCATAAGATAGATCGAACTAGCATCCAACCCCAGCAAGGATCAGTGCCTGGCCAGTAGGTGATAGCAGGACCTCTTGTGGCAAAAGGTAGGTGCCAGGAACTTGGCAAATTGTTTCCTCATAGTTGGGGATCGGGGGAGAGGGATGGGAAGATTAAAAGGGTCATGATTGCAATTGATTACAGTAGTGTTCTTCCTCCTCTTTATTCATATATAAGCCTTTAAAAACCTGTAAACATTCCTACTTACCTGGGCCTCTCCTGTCCCTCAATCTACCATTGTACCTTGGCAGTGATAACTGTTGCCCTCTCACTCCCCCGATCAGACTACAGAATAATGCAGCAGTCAGGTAACAGCACTGAAGACTTGTGTTCCAGAATTTACCACACCTCACCCCAAGCTGTTCCAGTACAGCTCAACCTTCAGTGGCAATGGCATCACCATCATTGAATTTCCCACTACCTACATCCTAATGGTTACCATTGACTAGAAACTGAACTGGGCTAGCCATATAAATACTGTGGCTACAACAGCAAGTCAGACACTACAGATCTTGCAGTGTGCAAACTACCTCCTGACTCCCCAAAGCCTGTCTGCTATTTACAAAGGAGTTTTATGATGGAACACTTACCACTTTTCTGGATAAGTTCCGCTCCAACAATATTCAAGAAACCTGACACCATCCAAGACAAAGCAACCTGCTTGACTGGCATTTTAACCATAAACATTCACTCCTTCACTAACAACGCTCTGTAGCAGCTGTGTGTACTATCTACAAGATGCACTACAGAAATTCACTAAGACTCTTTAGACAACACCTTCCAAACCCACAACCGCTACTATCTAAACGACAAGTGCAATAGATACATGGGAACACCAGCTGCAGGTTCCTCTCCAAGGCATCAGCCATTCTGAACTGGAAATATATAATTGTTCCTTCACTGTCACTGGGTCACAATCCTGGAATTCCCTCCCTAATGGCATTGCGGGTCAACCCACAGCACATGGACTACAGCGGTTCAAGAAGGCAGCTCACCACCACCTTCTCAAGGGCAACTGGGGATGGGCAACACTGGCTCAGCCATAATGCCCAAATCCTAAGAATGAATGCATTTTTAAAAATACTCCATTCGGAGCTTAACCTGCATTGTTAATGTCTACATCACTGATTTTGTCTGACTCTCCTTTCTACCTGCAACTTAAAATTGCTGTTGGCCAAATGGGAACAAAAGGACAGTGGTTATGCCCTTCCCACAATTATACATGAAAAGCCCCTTACTCCTGCTTTAGGCCAAGTGGGATAGAAATTCCTCCCGTAGTCACGTGGTAATACCCTGCAATGATAATATTGAGGACATACTTGAGATTCACATTTTGCAAAGAAACTAGGAAAGCAAGTGATCCAGCAGGAAGAAAATCAATTGAGGCCTGTAATAATCTAATTATCTAAATATTGTATATAAATCAACTTGCTTTATTTGCACATACATATACAACTAACGGTAGGACTAAAAATAAAGCATTAACCTAGAGGCTGAGATACTGTGTGCAATAGTGTTTTGGTCTCCTTTTCTGAGGAAGGATGCTCTTGATCTCGAGGGAGTGCAGCGAAGGTTTACCAGGCTGATTCCAGGGATGGCGAGTCTGATGTATGAAGACAGATTGACTAGATTGGGATTCTTTTTGCTGGAGTTCAGATGAATGAGGGGGATCTCGTACAGACTTATAAAAGTCTAACATGACTGGAGAGGGTAGATGCAGGGGTCACAGTCTGGGGATTCAGGGTAGACCATTTAGGATGGAGATGAGGAGACATTTCTTCACCCAAAGAGTGGTGAGCCTGTGGAATTCATTACCACAGGAAGTAGTTGATGTCAAAACACTGAATGTATTCAAGAGGCGTCTAGATATAGCACTTGGGGCAAATGGGATCAAAGGTTATGGGGAGAAAGCAGGATCAGGCTATTGAGTTGGATGATCTGCCATGATCATGAAGAATGGCAGAGCAAGCTCAAAGGGCCAAATGGCCTCCTCCTGCTCCTATCTTCTACGTTTTTATGTTTCTATACATTAAAATCGTGATCAATCCTTTTGAAATAGAAGCCCTTTACACGATACCTGTATGATTTTCACATCAGCACGAAACCTTGGTGGATGTCCGAAATGTAAAATCCAGTTTAACCTGGCTCCCAGCAGCAAAATCACATCTGCATTCTGCAAAGCTCTGAGTAAGAGAAACTTTCAGTAAAGAACTTCAATTGTAGACAAATAATTAATAACACCATCCTTAACTCTTTTCTCCCAGGAAAGGAAAGCGGGAAGAGAAAATAATGCACATTGAAATTGGACTACATTTTCCTTTGAAGTATGAGCAAGCTCTGGAAGAAGCCAATGAGGAGGTACTAGAGTATTATGAAAATGCTGAGTCAGTGTATGGAGTATGAGAGGCACTTCACAACATTTTTGTGTGCACATTCATGATAGAAAGTAACGAACAGATGCATCAGTTAGTCAAGATTTCTAGGCAAGATCATTCTTCTCATTAATAAAATTTAGAATGGGGAAAAAAAATTAAAAGATTTTAAGCTGAACAACTGTGGAAAAGATGACCATTAAAGAATAGGTTGAGCTGTTTTCAGCCAGACACAGAATTCCTGTCTTCATAGAACTTCCTCAGAGTGCCCATCATCTATCACTGTCATTCCAAGGATGGGAGCATGGAGCTTTGTAAGAACAAATCTTCCCAATGATACAGTGAGGATGTGGTGTCTTCCATGATTACAGATGTCACATCATGGGGCAAAGCAAAAGCAGCTTCATTTTGCATCTTCAAGTTTATATTTCAAAGAGATAGTCAAAAAATAAATCATAATCAGTGTGTTCGCAGGCACTGACAAGCACTTCTCCAGCAAATCTCCAAGGCCCAAAGAGATCAAAGAAGTCAGACATCAAGAGATTTAACTGGAGTGACTGCAGCAAAAATAAATGGGAGGAATCTCAGTTTACCATTTGAGTAGGATGACTCTTATTTATCCCTCCTGGAGCTGAGAAAATTGACACCCAGACAGAAATAGGTCCTTGAAGTGATTCTTCAGTGGTCATCAATTGATCAAGAGTCTTATGTAAAGGTAGTGCGAGAAGGTCATCCACTCAGGACTTACATGAATGAAGGTGGGAAAGCGTGGGGTGGCTGTACCAAAGACAGCATGGCTAAGTTTTCAGACTTCCCAGCTCCATCCAATTGCAAGCGGGCCCAGAAAATTCCACCCAATGTCTTCCAGAGTAGCCACAGAAGTTACCAATTATTATGTTGATGCTTCCTTTGGAACCAGGATTTCTATACCAGGCAAACCAATGTAAATCTGTACAGGAACACTTTATTGATGATTCTCACGCCTCTACCAGTTCTAGATTGGACCCAAGCTCTGCCTTCCCAGGTCACCTGACCAGCTCTCTTTTAAAGGGAAAGCACCCCCCAACTACATACATAACGCCAGGAAATGCTAGACACTTGGGAAACGGTGAATAGTGTCTCCTGATGAATTACCAGATTAAAAAAAAGTAGGTAACTAACTAATCCAGGGGTACAGAGTGCTCAATTTGAAATCTATTAGAGGCTGGTTTAGCTCATCTTTGCCAAGGTGGTGGGGGAGAGGGGGAGAAATCTCAATGGCCCTTGGATAGAAAGAGGAAAATTGTTCAATTCTCAATCCCAATCATTGGGCAGAATTCAATTCCTTTCCCCTTGGGCAAGTTTGGTGCTAGGGGAACCATTTAATCCAACATGAGGTGGGGACCCTGGTGCCTTCTCATTTTTGCACAGATTAAGTCTGGAACAGGAAGTCCTGTGAACTGCCTTCCTTCCCAATTGCCAATTAAGGCCTTTAACTTGACAATTAATGCCCACTTCAGGGTCTCATCCACCACCACTATTCACCCATCAACAGGAAGTTGACATGCCACACAGGTAACCCAAAAGTAAACCACTGGGAGAGGGGGTGATGGTGGTCCCCCATTCAAAGGCATTCAGTGATCTTATGATGGGATTGGCCTGTCAGAGAATGATTTAGACAACAGCAAGCAGTGACATCATTAAGGTGACCATTGCTTTAAAGGAACAAGTTAGGAATCTGTTTAGCCAATCTGAGATTAATCATGTGCTGACCATATGTCAGCAAGCCAATTAGAGTTCAGGACATACCTGATCATACACAGGGGTAGAAGCTAGAAAAGGTTAAAAAAAATTCTTGCAAGTGATTTGCTGCACAAGGAAGACCAAAGACAGAAGGAGAAATTAAATCAAAAGAACAAGTGATATGTGCCCAGACAATCAGCATAATGAACTGGTGCCCCAAAGTAGATTGACTGCAAACTACTACTTTATTGAGTATCATTTGTTTTGTACTTATGTTGATAATATTAAATTCTGTGAAAATTGTAAAATCATATTTGTAGATGGAATGGGTCTTGTAATTAATCAGGACTTGAGTATTATTGAAAAAAGGCATATTCCTTCAAAGCTTTTGATCTTGCAATCATTAAGACAATTTGTAAGAAATGCCAAAGTAAATTCACACATACTGTATGAAAGGCCAGCACTGATCGATTTGCAAATAGACTCTAATTAGTTGAGGTGTTGCCATGGAAAATGTAGCAGTTTATGGTGATTGACAGTTAACTGTCAAACTTTGTTTAAATTTTAAACCAAAAGCAGACATTGCTAGAGAAACTCAGCTGGTCTGGCAGCATCTGCAAGAAGAAAGCAGAGTTAACATTTTGAGTCCAGTGAATCTTCATCAAAACATTAACTCTGCTTTCTCTCTACTGATGCTGTCAGACCTTCTGAGTTTTTCCAGAAATTTCTGTTTCTGTTTTAGATTTGCAGCAGCAGCAGCTCTTTGTTTTATTTTAGATTTTAAATCATAAGGTTAATTCTAATTGGTTAAGGTTTTGCCCTGAGGAATGAACAAGCTGTCACCTATTTTTTGAGTTGAAACAGATACTTATAAACATGATGCTGTATCATTTTGTCTTAAACTTATCAGGACAAATGCAAAACTCCACAGTTTCAAACAATCATATTGACACCCTTGGGTTTGTCCAAATGATTTGAAGACAAATAGCTGCAGCAACATGGCTCTCTTATCAGATATAATGCAATACCAAAAAACTGTTCCTATAGCATTGTTCACATGGAGCATAAATTTCTGTACTTTATAACAATTATATTTTACAAACAAAGCATGTTAGTAGAAATGTTCCAGCAATTAATCATGACAAGACATCTTGCATGTATACACACACACACGCACACACACACACACACAGACACACACACACACACACACACACACACACATCAAGGATATTTTTAAAGACTCTGATGATTGTAGGCTCCATTGAACGTAAAGGATAGTTTTAATTTTTTTAGCCTTTATGTAGTTTGATGGGGAAGATACACTATGGGATAAGGCAAGATCGTCACAGAATTGAGAGATGATTAGAAACCTGAAGTACATAGGATAAAACTAAATATATTGCAATTTAATGACAATGAAAGTGCTATAAAAGAAAAAAGGGAATATTAGTATAATTAAGAGTGCAATTAATGGAGAAAGGGTATTTGCAATCGTGTTCTCACACACAGAAAATGGAAATTGAACTACGCTTAAATATGAAGCCCTGACAGATTGCTTAATATTTGGAATGTAATTTCCATGGATATTTTCCACATTGAAAGGACATCAGCATCATTTCCCATACAAACCTAGACCTGGCTGCAGAGACACAGTTGCGATGGTTGTCAGGTACCACACCTTTCCCCATTGGAGTTGGCAGAAATGGTAGTCCACACATGTTTATAAGCTTTTTGATGTTATCTTCAGCACGAGAATAGGCTGCACCTTTAAGAAATGAAGGCAATACATTTGTAAAGTTATGTATGTTTTCACAAACAAATGTTTTTATTGTAACCGTAAAATAATATATCTTGCTACAACACCCATAACCTTTGATTATTAACCCAACATCATGTAATCCTCAGACTTCCACGTTAGCTTGTTGATGCAGTAGCTTCTATCTATGCACTTTAGAATCAATGCAATATACAATTTGCTTTACATAAATAAAGACACCTTGGATTCATTGTGGAATTAGAGAATTATAGAAAGGTTACAGCCATTAGGCCTGACCAAATCAGGTCTTTGCCAGAGCTATTAAGTTAATTCCACTGCCTTTTCCTTTCCCTGTAGCTCTGCATCATTTTTTCTCTCCAAGTACTTATTTAATTTTCTTTTGTAAGCCAGAGTTCAATCTGCCTCCAAAACTCCTTCAGGCTGTGCATTATAGTTCATAACCATTTGATATGTAAAGATTATCTTCCTCATACCATCTTTGATTCCTGTAATGATCCGTGTAAATATGTTTGATCTGCTCTTGACCCTCCTACCAATGGGAACTGCTTCTCTTCTCCTGCTCCATCCAGACTTGTCAAGGTTTTGAACATTGAAAACAAACCCAGTTTCTCCAACCCTTCCACATAACTGTTATCCTCACCCTCAAATGCTTCCTAAACAGTGAACCCAATATTGGATACAATACTCCAATTCAGGCTGACATCGTATTTTATTACGGCTTATCATAACATTTCTTTTATACTCTATGCCTCAAGTCATACAGCACATGATGCCCGAAACCTCTTCGACCAATTTTGCAACCTATCTTGTGACCTTCAACAAGTTGTGTAAATATGCTGCCTGGACATTCTGTTCCTGAACCCTTTTGGAATAGTACCCACTAATTTATTTGCCTTTACTAATTCTTCTAACCAAAATGTATCACATGTATCACATTTAGTAATTTCACCTGGTCTCTGTCTACCTTTGTACCAATGCTCTTAAAGTCTATCACGACACTCCTCAATTCACAACACTTCTAAGTTTTGTATTATGCGCAAATTTTGAAATTGTACCCTGTATGTCTGAATCTAAGCCATTAACACACAAAGCAATGACCCTAAGACCACACCCCTGAGGAAGCCCACTAGCTTTTAAGCACAAATCTTTCATGGATTATTAGCGTGTTCGTCCATAATTGCCCTCAAGAATGTAGTAGTGAGCTGCATTCTTGAGCTGGAAATGCATGTGTTGCAGGTAGACCAACTGTACTGCCTGATAATTCCAGGATTTTGATCCCACAACAGTGAAAGAATAGCAACACAGTTCCAAATCAGGACAATACTTAATTTGGAGGGGAACTTGCAGGTGACTGTGTTTCAATGCTGCTACTGCACTTGTCCCTGTAGGTGGTGGAGTTCATGGGTCTGGAGGGTGCTGCTGAAGGATGCTTGGCGAGTTGGTGCAATGTATTGTTTGTATGGTAGGTACACAGTGCTGCCACTGTGCATCGGAGATGGAGGAATGCTTCCAAAGGTGGATGGATTGGCAATCAGGCAGTCTGGTTTGTCCAGGACGGTCATAAGCTTCTTGGAACCTCACTCATCAAGTTCAATGGAGAGCTATCCATTACCTTTCTGACTTAGAAATGTTGGGCAGATTTTGTGGTGAATTCCCAGTGTCTGACCTGCTCTTGCACCCAAAGTCTGAAAAGCAAACATTTGCCACCATTCTGTGTTCTGTTACTTGGCTAACTCTGTATTCATTCTGCCACTGTCATTTTTTATTCCTGGCAAACAATTGTGTGGTACTTTGGAATTTCATACATACATCGACCACAACACTCCCATCACCACTTTCAGTTACCTCATCAAAACAATTTAGGGAAGCATAAACAAAAACAAAGTGCTGGAGAAACTCAGGAGTTCTGGCAGCATCTGTGGAGAGAAAAACATAGTTAACATGTCAAGTCATAAATCCCTACCGTGTAGAAACAGGCCCTTCATCCCAACGAGTCCACCCTCAGAGGACCCTCAGAGCTTCCCACTGTCCGCCCACCATTTCCCTGTAACCCACCTAATCTACATATCCCTGAACACCGTGGGCAATTTAGCATGGCCAATCCACCTAGCCTGCATATCTTTGGATTGTGGGAGGCCGGAGGAAACCCACGCAGACACAGGGAGAATGTGCAAACTCCACACAGACAGCCACCCAAGGGTAGAATCATACCGGGGTCCCTGGCACCGTGAGGCAGCAGTGCTAATCACTGAGCCACTGTGCTGCCCCGACAGTCAGAACAGTTCTGAACAAGAGTCACATTATTTCCAAAACATTAACAATATTTCTCCCTCCACAGACGCTGCCAGACCTGCTGCGTTTCTCTAGCATTTTCTCTTTTCGTTTCAGATTTTCAGCATCCACAATGTTTTAGTTTTGCCCGGGAAAGACAAATTGCCTTAGCAAATCTGTGCTGGCTTTCTGTAATTAATCCTCTCTTATCCGGTGACTATTAATTTTGATCCAGATTATTGCTTTTAAATTCTTTCTCCCACCAAGGTGAAACTGACTGTAGTTTCTGGTTTATCTGAATTTATTTGACTAAGACCTTAACAATTCTCAGTCCTATTCGACAGAAGAGGGGTGGATGATCATAGGCAGA